CGTATCTTAAGTGTCTTGAATAGGAATCAAATAAACACAAAAATGTGTTTTTATCATATTTTATATGTCTTCTTTCAAATTGTACTTAACATGTCCACTTCAATATACAAAATGATATACAAAATCTAGTCATAAGGAATTATTACATGATTACGCCACCAGTCACTAGAACAGCACAGACACTCAAAAATGGCAATGATATTTGCAGATAATTAATTCCTTATCAAAAAATCTTTTTAGACCAATTAGGTGAAATAGGATGATTTTCTACGGCACACCTGACCATCACTCACTAGTGTACCGAGGCACAGTGGTTGAAAAACACTGAGCTACAGCATCACGCTCAGCTTTCATGCACAAAGTTGGATTTTTCCATCCTTTTTCCACCAGCTTTGAAGGCCTCCTTTTCACTGGATAGTCAGTGTGATGCTGCCTTATCCAGCTGCCACAGAACCTGTCAGACCTGTTAATAACGCTTCTGGATCTTCTTGTTTTCCTCCCAACTGTAAGAGGTTTTCCTGCTAACTGTGGTTCCGCTTTCTGTCCACGGCGAGCGAACTAATTGCTATTTACGGTGTTACATAAAGGGCACTTTTTACATTATTTGTGCTGACGGCGGCCCGAGCACGCAGCACAAATTCACCCCGAGAGGTTAAGCCAAGACGAAGGGAGGAGGAGGAGGAGGAGGAGGAGGAAGAGGGAGCGGGGGAAGCCTGTGAGTCATCGGCTGCATCATTTAGAGACTGGAGAGCGAAGACTCACACATAAAGACGCAGAGCTGAAATCAAGACGGGTTTGGGACACTAAAGGGCTGAAATACTGCTTAGATATATCAAATAAATCTATAAAAAAAATGAATAAATACAACAAATATATATATATGTTATATTATAACATAATAATAATAATAACAATAATAATAATAATACTAATAATTACAATATAATATATTTGTATAAATGTCTAAAACATATATAAATATATAAAGTATATATAAAAGAATAGATTACACACAATGCAATGTCATATTACTATGAAACTCGCCTAGCCTTTTTTAAATTGAGAAGCTGAAGATGTTTGAAATTTTTAACCATACCAGCATTCAAAACTGGAGATAAATTCAATTTCTGCCAATTTCTCAGTAGATTTATGCACTCTTATTAACATTTCTGGCATTCTGTGAAATAAAACAATGGGCATTTTTTCCTTTAAAATCTATCATGTTCAGGCAGAGAGAGGAGAAAAAGCAGAACCACCTTGAATTGGCCCAGGGTTGTAACTTAGAGGACTTAATCTGGGGTTCTTCGGGGACGTGGCTGCTGCTCCTCAAAGCCTACCGAACCGATGTGGGAAAGGCAGGGAACTAAAAACAGAGAAACCCACTTAACAAACTGGGTCAGAGTCGCCTTAAGAAGCCGGAGGAGAGCTGCCTGAAACCCTCACGCTCCCAAACCCAGAGCCAACAGGAGCCAGGACCAGCAAAAAATCTGCAAACTCTGCTGAATTAATTAATTTATTTATTTATTTGAATAGGGACAAAGCACATTAATGAACATCAGTCAAAAACAAATGTAAATATGCCGGATTGTAGCTACAAAGCTAATTTTCATCCGTAGTCCCTAGGCAGGCAAAGGCATAAAAAAATAACATATAATAAACGATATAAGCATCACAATTAAAAGTTTAGATTTTAGGGGTCACATGACTGGCTTGCTTTCATCCAAAGTTTAAGTTGATCTCTAAAGCTGGTCAGTGTGAATGTGATGAATGGTCATCAATGGTAAAGATGTCAAAGTCCCAGCAGCCTGTAATGGTCAGCCACCAGCAAACTAAACATTTTAAAACTAAACTTTTCGTTTAAAAAGGTGATGAAGGGCAGAGCGAAGAGTCCAGGAACAGTCTGTGATCCATATCTGCCATCAGTGGTCCAGAGAGTGAGTTTAGAGTGGATTTAACCCTTTAAAGTCCGATCCAAGAAAATAACAAAACAGAAAATTACTTTTTTTTTGTTTGAATTCCTTATTTGGCCTTTTAACAAAATATGCAAAAAGAAAAAACAGAAATACATTTTTAATATTAATAATTTATTACTATGCCATAAGTCAAGATTATTTTTTGTGTATTCTTCTGCCCCCTGTTATCAGGTGTATCTGATTGTGTACAATAGGATTTTGAGCAAAGATTTCACCAACAAATTAAGCAAAAGGTGTCAGACGCAAAACATTTCAGAAACCGTATGAATCAAATATGATACATTTGGCATTATAGGGTTAAAGTGGGTGTTTCTGGACTGTGGGAGGAGAATCCTGAACAGACAGAACCAGCTGGAGCTCAAACTGGGAACCTGACTGTGGGGCCACTGATTTTACATAAAATAAATGCAACTTTTCCTATAAAAATATCCAATTAATGAGCCCACCTTACTCCAAAACCTCCCTGTGACGTATTAGATTTTAGGGTCCCTTATTTCTATCAATGAAGCTGTTATACTGATGCCTTCACAACCCTAAGAAAAAAGGAGATTTCTTTATAATTTTCTCACTGTAGTTGAACTGTGGAAGATCACGGAAGCCAAAGAAGAAGCAGGACTCCTAAATCTATTCTAAATATTCCTCTGATGGGCCTATATTGCAGGTTAATGCTCCTATCACACATTTCCCCCTTAAAAATAGTCCTGAAATGCTTATTCCCGTGACCCCCACCTATAACTTCCCGTCCAATAAACATTATTATGGGGTCAGTCTTCCCGGGTAACTCAAGAGTTAAACAGAACTTCCTCATTGCTCATTAAAAGAAGGGCACCTTAAAGGAACCATCCATCAAACTAACAAGTCCATAAACACTCGGAGGCCTCTGAAATCGAACCGTTCCTCCGGGTGACTGTGTTCTTCCTCTCGTTTTAGGGCTTCAAGTGTTTCCCGAAGCTGTAATTTGAATCACAGGAGTTCCTTTTTATGACTCGGCTGCAGAGTCATAAAACACCCATCGAGTCGTTAATTCATTCTGCTCCACACTTGGATGGCACTTAAATTAGAAAATGGAGACTTTGATTATCATCAGTCGCCCGCAATGAATAATGAGAAGTTTGAACCTCTTAGCCCCTCTCAGGTGGAAGTTTTGGGTCGTTTATGTAATTTCAAAGGCTTCAAATCCAAAATTATTGCTTTAATTGTTGGCTGAAGGAAGGATTTATCATCATATATTAAAGTTTTTTGTCACTGATGTGTTTATTGTTGGAAAAATCAACACAAATGAGCTTCCACCTGAAAGTCCTCCTGTTTGAAAAGCAAAATGTGACTGAATGACCTCAGACCTTCTATTTTAATTTGTTCATTTTGTCATCTTTACTTCTCAATCTGTAATCTTTACCAAACAGAATGTATTGTTATGTATTTATGGGGAGAAAATGGAAGTGCCCAGATGTCCCAGCTTTCAAACAGCACACAAATGCACCACGTACAGGTGGGACTCTAAACTGGACGCTGAAAGGAGGAGCTCGTAAACTGGTCCATAAATGTATTTAAGGAGCCTTTGTGAACAGGAGGTGTCCCCATAGTGAAGCTGGAGGTAAAAATCTGCTTAAAACATTCAAGTTTATCCACAAATATACATTTACACGACACAAAAAGGGGTTTAAACACGCAGAGACACACTGTGTGGATTTTCTCCCCTTATTTGTGGCCTAAAGACAGAAGCTTGGGGTCAAAGTTCAACCAGTCGGCTCAGAGACTGAGGGGTGTTTGCTCTGATGCTTAAAAACTCAAAAATAAACTAAAAAGACACAGATTCGTCTAAAAAACATATTAAAAATGCTTTGATCAACCTGCTATTGAGCCAAATTCAAGAACACACAGAGCATTAACTTGTCATCTAAAATGTTTCAAGGCTCCAAAGACTGTATTTGTGAGTCCTTGAAGTGAAACATTAAGCACAGATTATTTCTAAGTGGTTTCACTTACGTCAAATCTGAAGAGAAAAGAGAGAAAAAGTAATTGAATTAGTGAGAGGAGAAACTAAAATGGGTTTTATTCTCATGCTAACACAATCAGAATGCACTCCTCTTCTTCGATGTCGCTTAAAAATGGAGGAAAAACCTAATTTCTGTTATAAATTAATACTACAACACGTCTGTGGACTGATAAGTTAATTAAACATTTTTAAATGGTGAAGATTTATAATTGTGCAGAGGTGAGGAATTTAGCGTAAAAGAGCAAAATTTCCATTCCTATTAAGCAGGAATGGATCGATCCAGCGGGGTCCACCCCCCCCGTGATGGATGGATGGATCAATCTGCCTCTAACCAAAAGAGGGAACACTTCACTGGTAAAATGGAAAAGAGGGATAACAAACACCAGCAGATCCTGCAGGTCATCGTCACCGAACAAAATATTGACCTTTTTAGTCATAAAAATGATAAATGTCTGCTGTCTTTTCAGTCCTCTTCTTGTTGAAAATAATGAAAAGTAAAGACGTTTTTCTGGGAACGATTTAGTTTCTGATTATGAACCTGATAAATGTAATAAATAGACTTTTCTTTTCTTTTCTTTTCTTCAGTAGTTTATTTGTATGTATTTTTCTGAGTTATTTGATAAGTCAACTGCACTGATATAGTTATTTTAATCAATTTTGATTTATGGGTAGAAAATAAATTATGTTTTTGGCCTTTTTTTTGCATCCAATGAATAGATAAAATAGAATCACTACATTCATCCAAATGTGGAAATCAAACATTTTCATTTAGCTCAGATTTGAAAAATCTATGATTGTGTGATAGAACAAAAATTTAATTAAGTTAAAGTGAAATGTGTGAACATTATAGTATTATTTATAATCAGTCTGAATAGAGTAAACAGTGAAGGTTTTACCTTTACTTGTCTTTCATCTTTTGTACTTTTATGTTTTTTTTCCTTCACGTTTATCAATTAAAAAACAACTTTATCACTCGTTAATCTCCATTAAATAGAACCATAGAAACGTCCTCCTGACCCCTGACCCCTGACCCCTGACCTCCCTCTGACGGGGACACCTGAGCTGCACGTTTTGGCTTCCAATGAAATTTTAAACACGCGCAGACGGGAGGTGTGGCGGAAACAAAAGAGGGCGGCCTCGCCCTCCAACAGCCGGGTGTTTTCCAGACCGTTTAACAGTCACCCCGAGGTCACCGGAGACACTGAGGAGCAGAAACATAACGAGAGACCATCGCTATGCCAACAGAGAAAACCTGAGGATGAACTCCCAACAAACTGCACACACTGTCAAAATAAATTCTGAATAAAAATGTTTAAAAAGCTCCAGATAAGCTCTTGAGTACAAGGCTTTTAGTTTTTGTGTGTCTTTATGCTTTTCCAGAGATATCTGGGATTAGTAGGACCTGATAAGTGTAATAAATAGACTTTTCTTTACTTAGTAGTAGTTTATTTAGTTTTTTTTTGTATTTTATTTTTCTGTATGTAAACGTTTGGTTCTGATTATCTAAATGTCTTAACATTTTCCAGAGATATCTGGGATTAGTAGGACCTGATAAGTGTTATGAATATACTTTTCATTACTTAGTAGTAGTTTACTTAGGAGTTTATTTGTATTTTAGGTATTTTCCTGTATTTAAAGGTTTGGTTCTGATTATCTAATTGTCTTAATATTTTCCAGAGATATCTGGGATTAGTACGAGTGTAATAAATAGACTTTTCTTTACTTAGTAGTAGTTTATTTGTATTTGATATATTTTTCTGAATTTAATAGTTTGGTTCTGATTACCTAAATGTCTTAATAACAACATTTTAATTACACAATAATGATGTGATTGACAGAAAATTTTATTTTAATTTAAAAAGATTTGTGTCTGATAGCATCTACTATGAGGCTAAGTGGTCAAAGTTTTTTTTAAATGAAGAATCGTGGTAGAGAGGGGTAAAAATGCTTAGGATGCTGGGACTCAGGAGGTTAAACATGGAGCTCTGCTGTGTTTAAAAGCCTCCGCAAAGAAATTAGGTCCTTAAACCTGGGCGTGAGAAGCAGGATCCTCCTAATGGCGCCGAGAGAGGCTCCCATTTTAAGACCAGAGCAGCTGGTCGATGACCTCAGCGCTCTAACTGGAACAAGTTGGTGAAAAATCTCAGGCAAGTACAAAAGAGACAGACCAATTAAAGCTTCAAAAACAGTTAATGTGGCCATAAGTCGTCCTGAAACGAGCAGGAGGCCAGAAAAGGTGAGCAGTAATCACCTCTCCACCCAAGTTACATGCTAGCAGCTGCTTTCTAAACAAGCTAAAGACTTTCAGAAGATGACCAAATGGATTCCTAAAAAGAAATCAACCAATTTTGGTTGGGCAGTTTTACACACAGTGTGGAAATCTGTACATAGTTCTTAAGATAAAGTCAAAGCTAAAGCCGATTTTTGTCATGAGTCATACAAATGCTATTCAAACCAGGTTTAAAGGCAGAAAGTAATATTAAATTAATGAAAAGATAACTGAGTAATGAGAGAGTACTGAGTCAAGCTAAACTTTCATAAGATAAACTAAAACAAGTTAGCTTTGATTGGCTAGCTTAAGATAAGCTATGCTAAAACAAGATGAACTTGGTTAAATTAAGATAGCCAAAACTAAAATAAGGTAGGTCAAGATAAATTTGCCTAAAATAGGTAAGCTAGGTTCAGTCAAGAAAATCTTAACTATAATAGGCTAGGTTAAACTAAAATAACCTAAACTAAGATACAGTAGGCTAAGAACAACTTAAAAGAAGGTAAGCTAGGTAAAGGTAAGGAAATATAAATATAATAAGATAGGTTAAACTAAGTTAACCTAAGCTAAGATACGATAGGTTAAGTTAAATTAACCTAAACTGCAATAAGCTAAGTTAGGCTAAATTAGCCTAAACTAAAGTGAGCTAGGTTAAGCTAAGGAAATTTAAACTATAATAAGATAGATTAAAAGATACGCAAAGATACGATAAAATAGGGTAAGCTAAAATAAGGTAGGTTAAGATAAGGAAATCTAAACTATAATAAGCTAGGTTAAAAGATACACAAAGATAAGTTCAAATAGGTTAAGCTAAAAATAAGGTAGGTTAAGATAAGATAACATGACATAAAATAACCTAAGCTAAAATAAATCAGGTTAAGCTGTAATAACATAATGTTATTGTTTGAAAAATCTCTCTCTGAGAGCGGAGGGAAAGTAACAGGAGAAAACTGGACAGGAGGGAGGGAAACGTCCCCATTAGGGTTGGAAACGAATGAGTCTGGCTCTCTCTAAGTGAGCCGGCTGCACGAGATAATGTGTAAATAATGAGAATGGCGTCTCTCCTCCATCAGCAGCGCCGGTTATTTCAGAAGCTTCTTTGTTTGAAGTGGTGAGAGGAAACGTTTTTTACACTGGAGCAGAACTCCATCAGATCAGCGGGTTCTGACAGAAATCAGGCAGTGGGGGCTGTTTTTACTGCTTATTCCCTCAAGAATAAATGACTAAACATTGACAAGACGCACCACTTATTTTGAGAGAACTCAAAAAGATGATCCTTTTTTACTTTTCGCTGACTGAAAATGAAAATCGGGCGTCAAAGGAAAGTTTAAATCGCATAAAAAGTTCCCTTTTTTTTCTCCCATCCTACATCACAGTAATATCAAAGTTCTGTATTCACATTTCATGACAGTTTTCAGTCTAATGCTGCATTCGGTGACCAATGGGAATTCGTAATATCAAGACAACATTTTAAGAATCAGATTTCCTAGTCAGAATAAATTCAAAATATAGATTTAAATGCAAATATATAATCTATTTTTGTTTTTTCTGGATTAGACAAACTAATTATTTTCACGTATTTACATTTTTATCTAATTTTCATATCTATCTCCATCTCAGCAGGCAGTTTTGTCCCTTTTTTACCCGCTTTTTAATGGTACTAAACGGTCAGGAATGCTGCTCTTATGGGACATTGAATGCAACACGACAGAAAAGGGGAAGCTGTGAGATAATAATATGCAGCGGAAGAAGTGGAGGAACACTTGGAGAGTTTTCTGGGCCTAGTCTCCGGATCCGTTCCAGATTTGATTGGGATTCAGGGACTCCTCAGCAGATGGAGCTCCAGATGAAGCTGCTAAATGGTCCAGATCAGATGGTCGAAGCACCACCGCCCTCCCCTGTGATGTCACTTCCTGTGTTGGTTTCCAGCTGTGAGCGTTTAGGTGGGGACCTGCTTTAGGCTGAGCTAATGTTTCCACCGTCACACAGGAAAAAGGCGGAGGGGCGGCTGGACGGAGGCCATCTGCATTTCACATTTTAATATCAACATCCATAATTTCAGGTCACATTTGCAAGTGAGGCTTTCAAAAACTGGACGTTAGCTCAGAGTTAATCACCTGTAGGACAGTTTTGTCACGTCTGGGGGAATGTCTGGTGTCTCGTCATGTCTTGATTACCTATTGTGTACACCTGGGGTTCCCTTCCCTCATGTGTTTAAATAGTCCTCGTTTCCCCTTGTCTTGTGCCAGTTTGTTTTCGTCTTTCGTCTTCCCACGTCAGGTTTGATTTTTGCCATAGCCATGTTTTGTCACTGTCTTGTTAATTTTTATTTTGTTACTTTGTCATAGTCATAGTTTTGCCACAGCCGTGTTTTTGTACTTTGTCTGGACTTCCACCTTTTTGTTACAATAAACCCTGTTTTTACGTCATCTCCACGCCTGAGTCCCCCTCCAAACCCACCTCCCTGACAAGTTTAGGTTCAGTTTGGTGATGACAATGTGGCTGATTCTGCTTAAATGTGCTTCTCCTGTCACAGCTGTGCTCCCTCTGCTGAGTCATGGTTTCTGCTGAGTCATCGTTTTTGCTGAGTCATGGTTTGGGCACCTCTCCGCTCCCCCTGTTTAATCCACGACATCCACAAAAACATATGGAGGCCTAAATCTCCCGCAGTAAATCATCTCTGGACTTGTCCGCGGAGGAAAACACAACGGAAAAGTAAGAGTAAGAGGCTTTATTCAGATTTTAAAATCTGCCCTAAATCTGCCGGCCAAATCCAGGAAGTGGAGTCAAGGAGACAAGTTGAAGATTTGAGCAAATCAAAGAAGTTGGACCGGCGACTCCTTTGTTTTTGGTGGACTCTGTTTTGGTCAAACTCAGTGGTGGACTTTGTATTTCACACCTGGGCCTTCAGTAGTGCTCCGTCTGAAGCAATTCACCCCTCAGTAACTATTTTATGGTGATAGAAATCATCTTATTAGGTAGAAAAAAACACAGTGGGGATGTCTTAATCCAGCTTTTTGCAACATTTTACTAACTTTTCTTGAAAAGTCCGTCTTAAAAATGGCCCTGACAGTAAATCTGCCACCAAATAGATTTCTTCTCCTCCTTCAGCCATTGTGGGGTGATAAAACAACTATTACACCATTTCGGTTAGTATGCTAGCTTAGGCTGGTACTCTATCTGACTATCCAATCAGTGGGTGTGAATACGGTGACGTTGCCTTTGGCCTTCTAGAAGGCCC